AAGACCGCTGGCATCACAAACGAGCGCACACAGCTGCTGTTGAATGCCCTCCAGACGCCTATCATGATGGCCGCAGCACTATCTGGACTGCGTTGGCAGGACCGACTTGGTCGCCGCAAGCTCCTCATCGCGTCCAGCACTGGCATGTCTATCTCGGTCGCGATCATCACGGCCTGTACGGCACAGCAGGCCGGTCGACCAGTCGTGGGCGGAGTTGGCATCGCGTTTGTCTACGTCTTCCTTGTCGTCTTCGCGTTCGCGTGGACGCCGGCTCAGTCGCTCTATCCCACGGAGGTCTTGGCGTACACCACGCGCGCGAAAGGTTTGGCCTTCATGAACCTGCTGGTCAATATCGCCAGCGTCTTCAACACCTACGTGCCGCCGGTGGCGATCGCGCGCGCTAGCTGGCGCTTCTACATCTTCTATATCTTATGGGACGCATTGGGCGCGGTCGTGATATATCTCACGTTCGTAGAGACCAAAGGCAAAAACCTGGAGGAGATCGATCACATCTTCGAGGCAGAGGATCCCAAGAAGGCCAGCCTCGAGGCGCAAGTGGAGTCCCGGCAGATCACACGACCAAATCGTTTGTGACGGCAGGTTGGTCTTCGTTTGCATCCTTCGTCAGTGTTGCCAATATCTTATTCTCAGGTTTGCACATCTGACGCCGGATAACTATATGATCAGTTGTCATGCTACTGAGCGGAGGCTATGAATGAAGATGCAGGACTACTTGAGAGGCTTGATTGATACTAGAAACACAGTACTCATCGTAGCGAGATGTATACAGCTGGATCGAACTCGTGTCATCGCAACGTGCATGAAGTCATCAGAACGTGCTGCCTTCTGGGGGCTGCGGGAGCTTCCTGTTATTGAACGACGCCATTTCCCTACACGTCGGGTCGTGAGACTCGTGCAGTCTACGATGGAGGAGACCTGTACATACCTCCTGATCTCTACCAATACCGTCTCGATGCTGCTGTTCCTGTTCCAGTGCGCGAGCACCGGAAGCTTGTTGGGATCGACTCTGCCATCGACGGGGCTGACAAACGGAAGATTCACGCGAGAAATGAACTGGACCGTCGGGGGTTGGTCGGGGTAGTTCTCGCCGCAGGTGATCTTGAGGCTGTAGATGCGGTTCTCATGTACGGTCTAACAAGCACAGGCGTCAGTTCCCCGACGCGTTGCGATACCACCGATCGCATTGAAATAGTAGAGGAGATACAACTGACATGCCCAGGTCCGATGATAGTGCCGTTCCAGTGGCTCATCATGATATCGTCCGAGTCCTCCAGACCGTAGGAGCACGAGCCGTCGCCGATGCCTTTCTCGCCCTTCTCGAGCTCCTCAAGCAGACGGAAATTGCGTGGTACTGGAGCATGTATTAGTGATGTGTAATGTGCGCGTGAAGTGGTAGTACAAACTCTTGGCCATGGTAGTGGTCGTAGAGAGTGTGTGGTGAGCGGCGGCGAGAGAGAGAGAGAGCGGTGCAAGGCGTGTGCCGTGCAGCGGTGGCGTTGAGTCCGAATCCGGCCTGGCCGGCAATGGCCGGACCGCCATCATCGCCTCGCGGGTCGATGACTTCGAATCCGGAGTCGGCGAGCTCGGTGCAATCCCGCAGTCGCTCACGCAGCGCTCAATCCACCTCTCTCTCTTCTCTCCCTCTCCCCCTCCCACTCACGACCACGACTCCCGGACACCTCACACTCACGAACCATGTTCAGAGGCGGACAGCCGAATACATACGACGAGATCGTCGGTGAGTATCGCCGACTAGATGCCAGAGCCGCATGAGCATCTGACGTATTGGCTTCCACAGCAAAGACAACCGATGAGAACCTCACCGGTGAAAACTGGGAGCTCATCCTTAACCTCTGTGATAAAGTGCAGGAGGAGGGCGAGCAGGGGTACGGCACTCCTCCCTTCATGCGTAACCTCCGCAAAGTCTGACAATCAAATCAGTGCTCGCAATGTGATCGCGGCGTCGCTCAAGCGGTTGGCACACCGCAACCCAAACGTGCAACTCTATACCCTCACGCTGGTAGAAGCCTTGTCCAAGAATTGTGGCATCGACGTCCACCGCGAAATTGCCTCGCGAGCGTTCACGCAGGCCTTGGAGAAGCTCGTTACTGATAGGGTACGTACCAGGATCGGGATGCTATCACCTCTGCTTGCTCACAGACAATGTTACATAGACCACGCATGACAAAGTCCGGAAGCGTGTACTTGGGATGGTAGCAGTCTGGACTGCTGAATTCGAGAAGGACCCTACACTGGGACTCATGGAGGAGTGCTACGAGAGCCTCAAGGGAAAAGGTGTGGCAGCACCTGCAATCCTTGAGTCGTGGCGAACTGCTAACACGTCATCCCTAGGATACAAGTTCGAGACACCAAACGAACCGCCGCCGCCCGATGTCGATGACGACGTTCGTCGCCGGGAGGAGGAGGAACTTCAGCGCGCCCTGGAGATTTCCATGCAAGATAAGGGGGGAAGGTCGCAATGGGAGGCCTATTCTCTGGCATCATCGAACGGTGCAAGCGGGTCAGGTGCTGGCAGCTCGAGACAAGGATCCTCTGCTACGCCTGGCCCTTCGTCTGCTTCGGCTCGCCCTGCACATAGCTCAAGCAGCCAGGCTCCCGTGTATGGGGGATACGTGCCGTCTTCGGCTACTCCTGCTGTATCTGGCGTAGCACCCTCAAACCCACCGTCCGCATCGGCTACCCCCACTACTACCGCACCGCCCGCAAGCAGCTCCCCTGTCTCCGCGCAGTCTCCGCAAGATAGTATACCCATCGTAACTCGCGTTCGTGCCCTTCACACGTTCGAACCAACAGAGCCCGGAGAGCTTGCGTTCGAGAAGGGTGATATCATCAAAGTTGTCGACCGGAACTACAAGGATTGGTGGCGAGGACAAGTGAAGGGTCGCACAGGCATTTTCCCTGTCAATTATGTGGTATGTCCTTTCAAAGATGGACCAGGAGGCTTGTACTAACAGCGCACGCAGGAACCTCTGCCAGAGCCGACTGCGGCTGAAATCGCCCGCGAGGCTGAGCAGGAGGCTGCTGTCTTCTCGCAAGCTGCCAACGTTGACAGACTATTGACAATGCTCCGCACCATGGATCCTGCAAAGGACAATCTGGCCGACAACGAGGAGATACAGGTTCGCACTTTTTGTGCAAGGTATCCGAATGTTACTCAGTCAGCGCACCAGGAACTATACCGTTCTTGCATGTCACTTCGCCCCAAGATTGTTAAGTTGATCGACAAATACAGCCAAAAGCGAGGTCAGTAAACATTGATGAAGAAGCTGAGCCCCGGCACTCAACCCATCCTGACTACATGTCTACAGCTGACCTGGTGTCAATGAATGAGACGTTCGTGAAGGCGAGGACCATTTTCGACAGCATGATGGAAGAGAGCCTCGCACGGCACACTGGAGGTACGGTTCCGTGTATCTCTTCTGATAGTTCTCAACTCATACGCGTGGACCAGTGTATGATGGCCGGCCCTCTTATATACAGGCGCCCAGTCAGTCCTACATTGCGCGGCCGGACTCGCGAGCTCGTCAGGAATATCTCCCCCCGGGAGCTCCGCAGATCCCTCCCGGCGCACCGCAGGCATACGGTTGGAACCCGAACGTGTATGATCAGCCTGGGTATAATGCCTACCCAGCCCCTGCTGCAGCGTACGCTCCTGTGGGAGAGAGCCCGTACCCCCCTCCTGGACAGCCTCACCCACCGGCCGCCCAGGCGCAGCCATACGGCGACCCGAACGCCTACGGTCCTCGCCCTCAATCGGTATACAACCAACCGCCTCCGCAAGCGTACCCTGGCCCGACGCCGTACCCGCCGGCACCTGAGGCTCAAGGGTATCCTGGCAGCCCGATTGTACCCGCACAGCAGCCAGGCGCCCACCCAACCCCTCAGGCCGCTCCCCAGTACGCGCAGCCTCAAGGTGAACCTCAGGCTCAACCCCCGCAGATCCAGCAACCGCCGCAACCCCAGTCGCAGCCATCGTTCCAGTTGGAGCCTCAAGCGCAGTTCCAGGCACAGTCGCCCGCTCAACCCCAGTCGGAGCCGCAGGGACATATCCAGCCGCAGTCGCAGGCTCAGAACCAGTCGCAAGCCCAGGCACAGCAGCAGCCGTCGCCTGCTCCCTCCCAGCAACAGAGCGGCCCGCCCTACGTATACGATCCGAACGCGACGTACCCCGATCCCAACGTGCAAGCGTGGGCACAGTACTACGCGCACAGCGGCACGGACCCGACCGGCGCGGTGTACTTCATTTCCGTTCCGGGCGTGAAGGAAGGCCCGCCAGCGGTCACGCGCACGACTTCGGGCGACTCCGTCAGTCAGGTTGGCGCTCCTTCCGAGCAAGCGGGGGCCGTCGCGCCGCTGAACGTGCACAAGTCCCCCGCGGACGGCCAGGGCGCGCCCCAGCCCCAGTCGCAGGTCGCTGTCGCCCAACCTGGCGTGTACGGAGCGTCGCCGTACGCTCCTGCGCCCGGGCCAGCGTCGCCGGCGGCGGGAGAGGGGCCGCCGGTTGCGGGCCAGCCGTACTACGGGATCGCGAACCAGTTTGCGGGCATGGACATCAACGCGGACGGGCGGCAGAACACGCAGGGTGTGGGTGCGTCTGCTTGATGTGTTGTTGTTGTATCGCACGGATAGTATGTCGACATATGGAAGAGTGTGTATCTATTTGAGGTATATGCGCGTGTTGACGATATCTTCGCGAAGCTGCGCATACAATCAGTGATTGCGCTATCTGTGCCTACTTGCCATGACTTCGTCGCTCAAACGAGCCAGTTTGGTGAGTAATCCCTACTTTATACGGCACAAATGGATGTTTCATGCTGCTGAGGTTCGATCGCCTATGCTGAGGAGAATGAGGGTCAAAAAGAATAGTTCGTTCATGTTGCGAAGTAGTAGTACAATCTACGTTGACATACATTTATTTGTGTCAAATGCTACCCACGTGAGTTCGCGTTACAAAAAGCTGCCCGGAGTGAGGATCGAACTCACGACCTCAGGATTACCCATCAAAGATGGTCACACTCTCCGTATGAGACCTGCGCTCTAACCAACTGAGCCATCCAGGCTTGTAAGTGATTACCATATGTAAGATATATTCTAATTGCGCTCTTGTTTCAGGAGTGATGTCGTCACGATACTCAAGTGTCTCAACCCGACCACTGAGGCCTCCTTAAGCCACAGCTACACATCCGGGTACCCGACTATCCCTGTACACTGCTGCTTGTTCCCTCCCAACGCTCTGTTTGTACGAACGTATGGCTCTTGCATCCTCTCTGACTCTCTGACTTATTCAACGCCACTCGAGTTGACGTTGAACACACTGGGGCCTCGTGTAGTCCAGCGTACCTGTGAAGTCATACCCCCACTGCCCCAGCAATAACGCACTACCAGCCGCGTCTCTCCCCTATCGCCCCCACACTGTTGTCGCCGTCAAGATGGCACCCCAAGTCGATCTCGTCCTATTATTCCGTTCTTCACCCGGCAAAGTACTCTCAAAGCCGCAGGCGCGCGAGAACGCACGGCAGGCAGCCCAGCAATACACACGCCTCCTCGAGATTCTCAAGAATGGCCGCCTACACGCCGTCGGCAAGCGCGGTGAGAAAGAAGGCCAGCTCCTGGTGCTCGTGCACTGCCCGGAGAGCACACTCACACGTCTCGTCCAGCGTGAACGGTACGTCATTCAGTCATATCCGGCGGGCTGTTTCTCACTGACATCCTGTGTGTCCGACCCTCAGATACTCGGACTTCCTATGTGGTCTGCCCACCACCAACCCCACCGGCACCAGAGACCTGAACTCAGAACCTCTGAGTCCTGCGGATAGGCTGCGCTTGGTGCATACGTATATCACCTCCACTCAAGCCGATGGCGGCCTCGGTGTGGCCCCAGGATCCTCGGATTGGGACCGTGTCGAATCCGTAATGGTGCTGCACGACCACGAGTTCAATGATGCCTGGATACGCGCGTGGACAACCCGCCAGCTCGGATTCGTCAAGTTCGACAAGATCCGTGAACAGGTGCGTCGCGCGTGTTGCGATGGCGAGTGCGACGTCCTAACTGATCTTGCGTAGTTCGGCGAAGCCGTGGCGCTGTACTTTCATTTCCTCTCCTTCTACACCAAACATCTCGTCTTCATCTCTGCCGTCGGCGTGTTCTTTTACTTCTTCTCGCTGCCCTACTCGACCTGGTACTCCTCCATTCTCCTCGTCTGGTCAGTCACGTTCGTTGAATGGTGGCGGATCAAGCAACGGATATTGTCCGTCCGCTGGGGCACAAAGGGCTCGTTCCGCGTCGAGAAGCGGAGAGCTCAATATACTCCTCTTGCCTGGTGGAAGAAGGACTTGCGGATGCTCGCGAGCCTACCTGTCATCCTGCTCTTTGCTTCAGTGCTCGGTGTGATCCTCACTGGCATCTTCATCTTTGAGGCCTTTGTCACGCAATTGTACACCGGACCAGGCCACAGATTCATTGTGAGCGCCAACCCAATGCATAGCATTGGCTCTGACCTTACCTTTGTTCTAGGGCTTCAGTCCGACGGTCCTGTTTGTCGCGTTGGTCCCCAGGCTTCTCGCTATCTACCACTCGTATGCCGTACGCCTCACTAACTGGGAAAACCATGGGCACCAATCCACGCACGAGGCGTCGCTGACGATCAAGACGTTCAGTCTTTCGGCTATCGTGGCCTATCTCGGTATCGCACTATCGGCTTTTGTGTACGTTCCCTTTGGAGAAGAGGTCATGGCGAGTGTGCAAGCCTACCTCTTCCATGAAGACAGTCCTTTGCATTCGGCTGCCCGAACATGGCTTGCGACCGTGTTCTCTGCTCTGCCCGCGAATGTCACTGCGCCGTTCAACGCGACAGCGGATGCCAAAGGCACAACCGATGGCCCGAAGCGCACATTCTGGGAGCGGGATAGCGGCAGCGCGCGGGGCAAGCTCAGCTCGACGCGTCTCCAAGACCAGATGTTTGCCTTCACGGTGACGAACCAAGTGGTCAACACCTTCCTCGAGATTGGGCTGCCCTTCATCTTGCGTGCGGTAGATTCGGTTCGCAGTGGCAAAGGACTTTCACTCGCTGCGCCTGCCGCGGGTGCTGGAAGCGGCAACGGCAACGGCAAGAAGAAGCGGGTCATGTTCGAGGACCAGACCGCGGAAGCAGAGGCTGAGCGGCAGGCACAGCTGGAGGAGGAACGCGAATTTCTGGACCGCGTCAACAGAGAGGTCGCTCTCCCGGATTACACGCTCTTCGCCGACTACAGCGAGATGGTCACCCAGTTCGGCTACGTCGCGCTGTGGTCGACGATTTGGCCGCTGGCGCCAGGTACGCGGTTCCCTAAGATACTGCAGAACGCTTCTGACGTTCAGCATGCAGTGATGTCGCTGGTGAACAACTGGCTGGAGTTGCGTTCTGACGCATTCAAGATCACGGTGCACGTCCGCCGGCCGATCCCCACCCGGACGGACACGATTGGCCCGTGGCTGGACACGCTTACCTTCCTGACCTGGCTGGGCGCGCTCACGAACTCGGCGCTCGTGTACCTCTTCCGGCCGCGGGACCACTGCAAGCCGCTCGGCACGTCGCTCTCGCACTCGCACCACCACCTGAGCCAGCCGGACGCGCCGGCGGAGGACTACCTGATGTCGGCGCTGCTGATCGCGCTCGCGGCGTCGCACGGGTACATCCTGCTCCGCACGCTCGTCCGGCACACGCTCGAGCGCATCCTCTGGCGCGGGAGCACGGAGGAGCGCGAGGCGGAGCGGGTGGAGACGGCGGTGAAGGAGCAGTACCTGCGCAGCCTGGGCGTCGCGGACGTGGTTAGTGCGGATGACAAGGCGGCGTACGCGGCGGCCGAGGGCGGGCCCGCGGGCGAGTCCTCGGCGTTTTGGACGCACGACGAGGGGCTGGACGAGCTGAGCCGGGGCACGAAGGACGCGTAATCGCGCGGGGCGACGGCGGCGAGCGCAGGAGGTGGATGCGAGTGGGTCGGGGATTACAGCACTTGCTGAATGCATGGGCGACATGCCCGAAGGAGGGCCGCAGAATGACACTTACGTGAGGGCGATGAGGTGTGGTCGAGGCCCGATTGGATTCGTTGGGGTTCTGCTGCTGCTGCGTAGTACGTTATGTGCATGTACAGTTGTAGTGTACGGACGACAATAGTGTGTTCTGAACGCTGCCCGACGCGCGATGCGCGGCGGGAGACGACGGACGAGGGCTCGGAGCGGTGGACGGGATGGCGGGCGCGGATCAGCGGCCGGGGCGTCGGGAATTGCCAAAGGGGCGCGGGCCGGGGCGGGGCGGGGCGGGAGCGAGGAAGGCGACGAGGGCAGGGCGCGCGTCGGATTTGCTGCCCACATTCGTTTGCACATTCCTTCCCTCGTCCCTGCCTGGCAACCGTCCCGTGGCCCTTTCTCTCCTTTCTCTCCCGGCTTTGCCGTGCTTGCCCTGCTCGCGCTGCCGCGTCGACGCTGCACCCGCCCAGACTTTCTCCCTCCTTGGCTCGCTCTCCCCGCTGAGACAGACCACATCAGCACCCCCGACGCGCTCGCCATCCGGATTGCCATACCTACCCACACGTGCTGATTCTGCACGGCACGGTACACGCCTCGCACTCTCCCTCTCCCGCGCTCTCGGCCCTCGGTGCGACGTCGTTCATTTTGCTGTAATTATGTAGGTGATACTCATCTGCCTCCGCCGCCTCTGTCCATCTCACGCCTTGCACTCAGGCTTCACTAGCTGTGCCTGGATTGTCTCGACGACCTCCGCTTTGCCCGCCCCGCTTTGCTCTTTGTCCTACGTGAGTGTCTTCCCCACTGCGCCCCCCGCCGGACAAACCAAACCCACCTCCTCTCCCCCAGCTGTCGGCCACAGTATGTCGACACAGTACGGCCTGCCACCCTCTGCAAATCTTCGGACAATGGAATCCACACGCCTGCAGACGCACGCGCCCAGCAAGTCCGCATCTTACCATCCTTCAATGAGCCAACGGAGCTCTCGCCGCGTGCCGGTCCAGTCGGCCTCCCTCCCCCAATCGTCATGCCTTTCCGACGTCGCTGAGTTCGCCCCTCCTCCTCCTCAACACGACTACCTCGGTGTGACTGTCCCGGTTACCGACTCCTTCCTCAGCTCCGGCTGGACCTCCGACTCAGGCTCGCCCTCACGTTCGCCACATCGCGCTCGGCCGCGGGAACACTTTCCTTCCTCACCACAACCGTCGGGCTCGCGCTCTCCCGCGCGCCTCAGCCCTATACCACAAGGACAAACGCGCAAGGTCCACACCTCCCGCTCCTTCTCTGCCTCCAGCCCGCTCAAGACGTCCGCGTTCTCCGACCGCGACGCGAGCGGCCACCTCGACTTCAAGCGGCTCATGAGCAAGCCCGCGAAGCAGTCCGCCTCTGCCTCCTCCATGGTCTCGCTCCCGTCCGACTCCGAGCACTCTGCGTCAGCGTCGTCAGGCCGGCTGGGGCCGTCCCGCCGCCCGAGCGAGCCCGTCCCCCATCCGCCGCCATTAAGGAACATCGGCTCCGGACGAGAGAAATTGTCGCTACACGTCAACACCACGGAACTGCGCACGTTCCCCACCCTCCGCCAGGCGCGCACGCCCTCGCCAGTCCGCAGACCCGAGACAAGCGACGGCCAGCCTGCGAAGCCGGCCCGCAACGTGCTCCGACGGCGGGCCAGCGCACGGTCGAACCCTAGCGGCAACCCTCCCCGCGCGCAGACGGACGACAATCTGCCGCCTTTGCGGACGATGTCGTCGAAACCCCGCCTCGAGCAGCCCGCTTCGTCATCCTCCCGCCAGTCGCCCTCGCCATCGGGCTACAATGCGGCCACGCCGCCTCGCAAAATGTCGGCCCCGACGCCATCCAAGCCGCCAGAAGCGTCTCCCAGACCCCTCACGCCGGCTAGTGCGGTCGCGCTCGCGTACATGCAGCAGGAGCAGCGCCGCGAGGAGCTTGCCGAGACCGCGTCGTTCAATGACGCATATAGGCCGCCGTTGGCGCAACCAACGAGCGCGAACACGGGCGCATTGCCAATGCGCCCTGTGACTGCCGACGTGCCGAGGA